GTGAGCCCCAGTCGGCAGCCGGTGGATGCTGGACGCTCGCACACGATGCTCCCACGGAAAGAATCCACTCAGATGAACTGATCAGATATCTCTCAACTATCTATCGCCTTCTTCCCCGCCCTGCCGAGAAATCACTTCTCCTGTCCCCTCCCCTCCCCCTCACCCTCCCGTGAGTGTCGGCGCTCACGCTCACTCACCCCCGCTTCTCCCCGCGGAGGGCAGAGGTCAACACGGCCGTCTCGGGAGGGCTCCGGCACCCGTTCGTCACACACGCGCCACTATTGATCTGTTTGCGCCGCGTACGCCGCGCCGCGCCGCGCCTCGCGAGGTGATCAGGCAGGTGCGGGCCCGGCGTCTGGGCTCTGTCTGGAAGTCCGGATCCTCTGACACCATCGGTACACCATCGGGACTCGCCAACTCATCTATGTAATTAATTCATAGTGACTAGATTCCACCTCGATTCTGTCGTTGCTTTCTTGTCATACCGGACGTATAGAAACAATAATCATTGCAGCGCCGTCAAACTATGTAGTTGAATTGCTGTCACCTGGGCCTCGTTGCATAAAGCGAGTCCGTAACTTGCGCCGGTTTTTGGGCTTGTATTGCAAGCGCACGTGACGTGAAGCGATAAATTTGTTTCACTTTCTCCCTTCTGTTCTTGCTTTCAAGATAAATAAATTCAACGATTCAAACTATCGTCATCGCTTTACATGCACTTGCAATGCAAGACCAAAAACTGGCGTAAGTTACGGACTCGCTTTATGAAACGAGGCCCTGGCTCTAATAGGTAGTCGCAGTCCCGCCGGTACCACCACCACGGACTCGATTTCTCAGGACGGAGTTCATGGCACCTCATCATTGCAGTGCTGCGCCGACGGTCTATTATTGGAGGGCACCTTCCCAGGCCTCTCCGCTCCAATGCACGGCCGGCGTGGGGCCTCCTTTTCTCTCGTGTTTCCGGCGGGGCCGCTGATTAATGAGGTCGGCCGCACCTCGGCTGTACCTCGGCCTTTTGGAGTACTCGCCCCGCTGACATCGGGGATTAGATCCGCCATCTGCCGCTGAGGTCCTGCCTCTGACGACGTTTTGATGTTGATGGTGATGTTCTGAATATGTGTACACCCACCCTGATTCAATATACCCTGTGAACCCACTGCGACATGCGGAAGGTTATAGGTATATGCTCCGTGTAATATTGTATGACATCCAATCCAATATATCAGTTAAATGTTAAGTTAAATTTTTGTATCGTGGTGCTTCTTTTCGTCCAAACTTATGGGAGTTGACTACGAATAATCTGTCTTCTAATTTTGATGGATGAATTCGCTAAAATAATATAAATGAATACTCTCGGACCGGGCTCATAATTCGGGTATTGTTTTATGGTTTTTAGGTTAAAGACAATTAATTTTGAATGGTCATTATATTCATAGATATAAGGCAATTGCTCGACAGCGCAAGCCGTTTTGTCAGTTCCCACGGCTCGGAACGTAGGTGCTGCGCTTTCTTCGCGTATGATCCCCAAGGGACAAAACTTGGCTCAAAATTCACAAGCTAGCTCGGCCAAAAGTTGGTGGTAAATCGAGCGGACCTCCCTGCAAATAGGGCCAATGTTTACCTAACAAGTTTATGGTTCCAGTGTGAAAATACCTTAACTCAGTTTGATAGTTTTGTTTCAGGATATGTCCCTTTTTTATTTGTGTGGGCATGATGCCGTCGCCGCTAGATAATATAAAGCCAGCAGTAGTACCTCCAATTGATTGAGTCACCATCCTTCAATTGATTCCAGCAGTACCTACCGTACCTGTGTATTTGTGAAATCTCGGATAAGTTGATGAGTTAAACGCGTTTAAATTGTGACGTCATTTTTTTAGGACTGAGGTCAACGACCTGGTGCCGATCTTTCGTCTTACGTAATAACTCATCATGAGAACATGCTGCTGCCGAATAAAATGATTGGCTAATGACTAATGACATTCGTTAGAGCAAATGTAGGAGACATTTTCCCGAGCTCCTGCCATCAGTCGAGAGTTGCCTGCAGAACGGACTGAGCTCGCGTGCCGTCTGCCATCGGGTGTGATAGCAGTCCCCGGGGCAATGTCGGCCCGTCCTGCCGACCAGTGCGTGACCGCCGCCCTCGCTGTGCTAATTAAGCTGGACGCTAATATGATGAGCTACCTGGCAGTGTAACACGTAACAAGTGAGGTATTTACGGTCCCAAAGGGACGGGCAGGTGCGTGAATGGCTAATTGAATTAAAAAGGTGCTGCTTATACGAGGAGTCGAATTACAGCCATTTGCACCATTAGTGCATGTTCGTACAGGCATTTGTTGATCTTGCCCACCACAGGAAAATGCTCAGTCTGAAAATCCATCTGGCCTCTAGCTATTCGGCCGGGGGAAATCCGGATCCGACCGTGCCTCATTGGCGCAGTGGTTTACAGCCCCCCCCCTTTCTCAATTCAACGCCCCTCCCTCCCACTCAGAGCCCCCAAACCCGTCCGCTCGCTCGGCAGAGTCGGCGGCAGCGGACCCTGCCCAGCCGTAATATCTGCGGGCCGTTTGGTGAAAGATGGAATGTCGCCTTGATTACGGGAGTAATATCTCACCCCAGTCTCGGCCGCTGGCTCCCTACGCTAGATATTAGATGTGGGCATGTCAGCCGGCCAAGTGTTATTCAACTGGAATTTTACGACCAAATGGAATTAGGTCGTTTTCAATATTGTGTTTATGCATGTATGATCAATTTATACGCAAGGGCGTGTTATTCTCAAGGTCGCATTGATTCAATGGAAAAGGAAAATATGTTTGCGGAAGGAAGTAGTGCATATCAAAGGAAGGAAATCCAGCTAATGTTTTGCTTCATTTTTGTATTTAGCTACTCTTATCGTTAATTTTGTTTTGCCGATTCAGGATGCCCTCAGCTATGTCACTGTATGCAATGGGCATAATAGAGGTAAGAGCCTCCGAGACGTTTTGGCATGTCTCTTTCAGGCTGTGAGTGCTGCAACAGTGCTGAACCTGGCGAGGTTCTACCTATGTGTAGGTATATCCTGGTCTACTGATGTTCTACGTTTCACTGTCCGCGTATTTCCATTTCCCCTCGCCACGCGATCTGCTAATGTTCGGCCGCTTCTGTCCCCTGGTCTACTGACATGCAGCCGTTTCCTGCTCTCATGTTCACCTGTGTTGATGTGTTCACCTGTCCTCAGGTCTGCTGATGTTCGGGCGCACCCCGGCAAAGGCGCGCGACATGGAGCAGCAGATCCGGACGCGCCAGGTCACCAAGGAGTACGTGTGCCGCGTGGAGGGCGAGTTCCCCAGGTCAGTCCCCGCCCTCCCTGCTACGGCTCCCCTGCCGCCGACGGCCGCTGCGTGTCGGGCCTGCCGCATTTCTGCCACCGGTCGAGCGGGAGGGGAGGATAACGTGACCAGAGTTACGTGCCCGGCAGAACCGAACCCGATCGAGATATCGAGCCGAACAGGTCGGCTTTGGTCGGATTGGGCCGACCGGCGGCCGCAGGAGACTGCCGCAAACGGGTGCCGTTGGTGTGTGTCTTTTGAATGCGACCACCGACGAAAATTGGTATTTGTCGCGATGCATCATTTTGCAGACATACAGGGTGTCCAGTAAAAGTGTACCCAGACTTTTCTCCATATTTTATCTTAAAAACATCACACTCACGAACAATTGTCCTCGTTTGAGAGTCAAGGCAATGGCAAAACATTTGCCATGCTTTTCAACTGTGCTCGGCACTCTGCTGAGCAGCGTGTGCCGTCTAGAGCAACTGCTCTATAGTAGCCCCTTTGCGTCGGGCCACCGCCGGCAGACGGACCGGCTGGAGGTGGGTGATTGCCTTGACGACCATGTGGGAAGGAAGACGACGGATCTCGTCGCTGATGGCGTCTTTCAGCTCCTGGGTCGACCCTGGATTGCCGGTGTGCACACAGTCCTTGAGAAAGCCCCACAAGAAGAAATCTAGAGGGCTGGGGTCGGGCCAGTGGGGAGCCCATTCCACCGCGCTTTTCAAGCTGATGTGGAGATCAGGAAAGTGTTCCTCCAGGAATTCCAGCGACCGTTTGGCGGTGTGAGGCGGCGCCCTGTCCTGTTGAAAACATTCTTGATGGCGACGGATCCCGCGTCTCCGCTTCAGCTCTCGCAAGAATGGTTCCATCGCCTCCGAGACGTAGCGTTCTAGCGTTACGGTGTTGTGGTTATCTCTCCCCTGTCATCTTCGAAAAAGAAAGGGCCGATAATGCCCCCTCCATGCCTCATTGCCACCCAAACCGATACTTTCTTGCTGTGCAGAGGCATGGTCTGAACTTTTTCTAAGCGATGGGATCCCCAGTGCACGTGACATTGTGGGATTTCACATGCCATGGTCCGTCACCGTCTGCCGGCGGTGGCCCGACGCAAAGGGGCTCATAAAGAGCAGTTGCTCTAGACGGCACGCGCTGGTCAGCAGAGTGCCGAGCACAGTTAAAAAGCATAGCAAATATTTTGCCATTGTCTAGACTCTCAAAGGAGGGCAATTGTTTGTGAGTGTGATGTTTTTAAGACAAAATACGGAGAAAAGTCTGGGTACACTTTTGACGTGGACATCCGGTATTGTGGAAATATACCTAATGAACCCAAAATTCCTGTAGCATCAGCTCTCAGAAAGGCTGATATCTCAACATATTTTAAGCTGTGACTCAAGTCTAAGGTTGAACTAAAAACCCATTAGTTTGGTCCTAATCTGCTCAGGCGCTGCGTATGGCGTACCAGGCTCGGCCGCGCTGTCAGAGCCGAGCCTTCGCCACCAGTTGTTCAAAAAGAACTCGCTACAACTCGATCAGCGCCGCTAACAATGCGCGCTGGAATATTTTTACATCGCAACACGGCTTGTCTTTTGAAGTTGAAACCAGATTTGTGGGGGTTTGGATCCAAGCTTCCAGTTTCAAAGAATCCAAGAATTTCTAGAGGATTCTGTTTTTGTGGTCGTGCTGACGGTTATTTTCCATTTAATGATCTAACCCTCCCCTTTGTTTTTCATGCGTTCTAACAAAACCGAACTGAGTTTTAGTTCTCCTCTCTGACCTTCATGAATTGTTTTATTTGATTCAGCTCCCTCCTTAGGTATGTTTTTATTCCACCTTTAGACCCTCTCCCTCGTCCTGTCTCCCTTCCCTCACGCCTCTTCCGCCTCTCACTGCTCCAGCCTGGAAGGTAGCACGACTCTGATACAATGTTCCGAACTAACTAGGCTAATACAATCCGCACAAACTTTTCCAACAACTCGTCGACAATCTGGCAGCGAACCGGTGGAGTCTGCCCGTCCCTCGACGAGCGAGCTGAGAGCGGCCATTTTGCCGTCGTATTTTGTATGTTTTTCAAAGGTGCGTCTCCCTAGTCCCTTGGCCGGCCTGAGCTGAAAGAGGTTCGCTGAGTGTAGCGTCAGGTACGCCGTGTTTTGGGGAGACGCTGAGCTGGCTGTTTTTGCCGACGTGTTGATGGGGAGAGTGAATAGGCGGCAGTGTAGAGGGAAGTAGGACGAATGAAAGATCGGATAGAGACACACGTCAACTTCACACGACCCAAACTTCTAGCTGTCAGCCTGCTATCAACTTCTCTCTGGCTCTGAATTATGTGGGAGCAACGCGTTGGTAGGCTGGTAGCGCTTTCAGCTTGTCAAATAAACTGTCAGCAGAAATGTTGGCAATAACACCCGTTTTAGCAGAAAAGATAGGTACCGGCACATCTTGCAAATGAAGACGACAATTCTGAACAGCTTCGAGTACCTGCCTACAAGTACTTGCTCGGTTTTTGATTACATTTGACCGGCTCAGAACAGAACAGAACAGATTTATTTGAATAAGATCCACGATTCTCCCCTCGTCCTGTCTCTCCCTTCCCTCACGCCTCTTCTACCTCTGGCTCCTCCAGCCTGGAAGGTAGCACGACTCTGATACAATTTTCCGAACTATAGGCTAATACAATCCACACAAACTTGTTCATGTCCCCGTTTATAATTTGTAGCGGTTTTGCGGTGCCATCAGTCCGTTACAGTGTCATCGCGTATCATCCAATTTAGGGAGAACGATCGGTATTCCTCCCGTGCCAGCCGTGTACCATTCAGTGCGTGAAAAATGAGATTTCATGCGTTCAGCGAAACCCTCACACAAGCCTCGTGGTCCGGCATTGGCCGTCCATTTTTAGTTTATATTTACGTGGACCGCTGAGGTCACGTCACAGCTCGCCACCGGTGAAGGTCGACTCGGTCTAATTAATTTACGGCGATCGTAGCGGTCGCGCCCCTGGCATCGACACAGGCCTCCATTCCGCGGCGCTGAGTTACTGTGGAGCAGGAATGTCCGGTGCGTCCGCGCCTGCCAAGCCCGCTCCTCACGGGCGTCCTGGCGGCCTCTCGGTGGAATAAGAGTCGGGAGCCGCTCTCGGAGAGTGCGGGGGGGGGGAGGGAGGTGCGGTCTGGGTCGGTGTCCGGTGACCCGCACAGGGCGCTCTCTCAGCCAATCACAACACTACGCCGCCTGTGCGCCCGATCAGCTGCTGTCGGCCGACGGTGTAGGTGGTGGTGAGCCGAGCGGGGAGCGGTCACCCGGTGTAAGTTCGCGGAGTGGGCCGGAACAGAACGGTCTCCCCCCGCCCACACACCGACGAGGGCTCGTTGGTCGCCGTAGTTGCCAAAGTTTCCACGGCATGTAGGAGGCGTTGTCTCCTGGGTTTCCTCGCCTATTGCTTCGTTCCGATTAGTCGTCGAAACTCTGGTAAAGACTTGAAGGATGAATAACTTTTATTCCATCGTAGGTAGACTAACCCCGCGTTCGATGTCTCTCGGACGGCGAAGATTCTACGCCGTCCGGCCAATCACGTTTCATAACCGCAGCCGAGCCCCCGCTGACCTTGGACAGGATTGGCCGGACGGCAAAGAATCTTTGCCGTCTAGGAGACATCGAACGCCGCCTAAGTTTAGATGTTTCATTGAGTAAGTACTAACGAATCATCCAACGAGGACACTATGCTATTAGAAAAGAGTGCAGTACTAAAATAAGTTAGTTTATCTGTAGCGCTTCAATCAGCGTTGATTGTGACGCGAGTCTCTGCGATATTTGTTGTAATATCGCGCGGCTGGGATCGTCATCCATCTCCCTCCCTCCCTCCCCTCCCCGGCACGTGCCGACCGGCCGGGACTCTCTCCCCGAGCCTCAGACGAATCTCGGACCACCACGGCGGCTCAGGGGATCGCACGCGAGCTGGCCGATCTTTGGAAACGGCACCGCCAGGTCGCTCGAGCTAATCCGGCAGGTTAAATGAGGTCGTTTGAGTTCACCCACTGATTGGTTTTTATGGTCTGGCAGCACCGCAGGATCGTCAATGGGCTTGTTAAAATATCTTTGTGTTACTGGTGGCGGTGCTGTCATTTTGTTCTTTCTTACTCCTCTCCTTTGGCTGTGCGTCAGAAGGAAGTGCAGTCGGAGCTCCTCGCTTCTCGACTCCGTGGTTCCCATCTCCCTAGTCCCTGCTCCGTGTGCCCACACCGGAGCGGAGCGGCGGCGCTGAGCGGTTACCGGCGGCGGGCTCCGCACACCGATATGGGCCCTCATTTCGCCGGGACGTGCCGTGGCCGCGGTGATTTATTCACGCCTATACCAAGTCACGTCTGCTCCGGGGGCCAAATCACGCCGATCATAGGGTATGGCGGCGCTCTGTTCTTTTCCAGCTCGATGTATCGGCGGCATTCTCTGAAAATGAGGCCGATCCGGGCTGCGGCGTGAACCCACCTGGCACCTCTGGCACTTCTCTAGCGAGTCATGGGTTTGCTGGATTGATGAAGTAACGTTGGCCAAATAAATGTACTCCTACTGATGCCTTCTAATCGTTTACCATGTTGTACGATCTATAATATGTTTTAAAACTGCCTCACAAAGTCGCGCGTCTAACATTGTCAATCTTTATCAAAGATAGTTGACATGGAGCTCGTAGCTATACGTGCACGTAAAACATAACTATCCACACTCATAGCACATTGACTGCCCTAAATCGTCGCTGACCGCAGGACAGGTGATTTGGGTTCACGTAACTGGCTCACGTTCGGGTCGACCAATGACCATTGGCAGACGGCGCCGGCTCTGTCCCAACATAGCATCTGTTTGGCCTTGGTGCCAGAGGATGGGCGGCAATAAATACTTATCCAACTATCTTTGTCGCCATTCCTGTCAAACTTCCTGGCGAATCGCTTCTGATTCTAATTCTAATAAAAGCCGGCTAATCTGTTGGTGCCGGGGCGGGTCGAACTCTGCCAACTGGCGCAGACGTGTGGCCGTAAATTTCCTTTATTTCACCCGCGAGAGGTAAGTTTCAGTTCGTGGTCAAACTTCTCAGTCAGTTCATGGCGGGCCGTACACCGAAATGGAGTGTTTCATTAGCGACACTTATATTAGGTATATTTTCTGACCTACGGACCGAAAGGGGTACTTCCCGTCACCATATCTTTAATGAGCTCAACATACCTACTCGTAGTAAGACATGACCATGGGAAATGACTGCTAACAATGCCTTAAAAACAAATGCAAATAAAGCAAGGTATTGCAGTAGCCATCCGCACAACTTTTAAGACGCGGAACTCTGGTTCATTTACAGACGGACGCTTTTCATTAGTCATCTATCTATCTAAACCACCCCGATCACTATCGCCTCCACCTAGCCGCCGCGCCGACCGGCCGCGCAGCAAATAAAGCACGATGTGACGCCCGGATCCACTAATTGAACCGTTCAAATATTTGGTGATCCACCCCGCGCTCATCCAGCGACCTTTGTGATCGCCGCTGTCCATCGGACGCCACCTGAAAGATAGACGACTCTATCTAAGGCTCGCGTTTCTTGTTCTGTCGGTGCGGTGTCGGTTGTTAGTGGCTGGATCGTATCAGCTCACCTATCTTCAGCGGTCAATGATTAACGGCAATTGCCGTCGGAGCAGTCAGATCACGCAACAACGCGCAAAATGAGACGCAATCACGAGGCAGTACACGTGAACGATTGTTTGCCCGGTCTAAAGAGAATATCAGCTTTCAGTGTAGATGTCGGAAAACTGGCTCAATTTAGCCCTTCCTTATAGCACTGCTGGGCAAGGCCACAGTGCTGGACACGGTGACTGCCTATATCCAGTTTCACAGGGATATGAACTGCCGCCTAACTACATACTAGTTTAACAACTTCGCCCACACACTTCGTCATCTTCTAATATCTATTTCCTTCCACGCATAGTCGATATGTTGTACCACGCCCCAGCAGTGTTTTATGCAATACCAGTCTTCCGTTTGGCCTTATGCCATCTGTTTATTACGCTGTCATGTCACCCAGCCGTCAGCCGCCGCAGCATTTTATCCGCATGCCATTATGGCCGAATCCAGCGCAAAGGACCCCGATCATTGAGTCAGTGCCTAATGAAACGTCTCTCGAGTGTAACATTTAGAGTCCACCCGCCAGGTGTAACCTCGCCGTGCTATGTTCCCAGTGAGCCGATCTCGTGTAAGGAGCCGATCGAGGTGGTCAGCTACAAGATCGGCGTCTGCAAGGTCTCGCCCAAGGGCAAGGAGTGTCTGACAGAGTTCACACGGCTGAACTACAACGGCCGCAGCTCGGTGGTCGTGTGTCGGCCGCAGACGGGCCGCATGCACCAGATCCGCGTCCACCTGCAGTACCTAGGTGAGATCCGGGTTCACCTGCAGTACCTAGGTGAGAGACGGGTCCACCTGCAGTACCTAGGTGAGATCCGGGTTCACCTGCAGTACCTAGGTGAGAGACGGGTCCACCTGCAGTACCTAGGTGAAAGACGGGTCCACCTGCAGTACCTAGGTGAGACACGGGTCCACCTGCAGTACCTAGGTGAAAGACGGGTCCACCTGCAGTACCTAGGTGAGAGACGGTACCAGATCCGCGTCCACCTACAGTACCTAGATGAGACACGGGTTCACCTGCAGTAACTGGGTGAGATACGGCACCCAGGCACCAGATCCGGGTTCACCTGCAGTACCTAGGTGAGAGCCGGTACCAGATCAGGGTCCACCTGCAGTACCTAGGTGAGACACGGGTCCACCTGCAGTACCTAGGTGAGATACGGGTTCACCTGCAGTACCTAGGTGAGACACGGTACCACCTGCAGTACCTAGGTGAGATACGGGCTCATCTGTAGTAACTGGGTGAGGTATGGAACCAGGTAGGTATGTACAATTCGTTGACTTCATTCGGCAAAAACGAGTTTCTGTCCTCGTTGTGCTTACAGATACAGTGCAACATAGATATTGAGCCAACAAATATATTTACAAAGTCCACGTGTGCAGACACATCCTCTAGTCACATCTCATTGGCTGCGAGCAAACCAGCACCACAATGGCATTGGGTCGTGTGCCGGAACAGACCCCATCGCCTGCTGTTCGGTAAAGGTCAGCGGGCGCCCGGACCGCCTGCCAAGCAGCGCGCCGACAGCGGCCGGCCGCCGGCTGCAGCCATGAATTCTACAGACGCCACCGGTGGCGATCGCAGATGCAGCGGGCGCGCCGCCGTCTGTACTGTACTGAATGGACAACTGATACGGCGCCGGTGCCGCGTCCTGTAGCCGTGATCTGACGGCTGTAATGGGCATCCGCCGCCCATTCACTGGCGGTTCTGAAACACCGGAAATGTACAGTCTGTCTTAAAAGTACCGCGCAAAGTGACGGTGGATCCATCAAGCCTTACCGAGGAAGGGCCTGCTTTAATTTGAAAGTCACCGAACCAATTGACCTGGGGAATCGACGAGAATGTCAATTGCTTCGGTGACTTTCAAATTAAAGCAGGCCCTTCCTCGGTAAGGCTTGACGGATCCACCGCACTTTGCGTGTGACTGTACAGACAACTGCTGCGTGTACGGGATCGGTATGATAGGATATCGGGTGACTGACTGTATGTATCTAGTCTGTTGTATCCGTATTCCGTATTCCGGAGCATATGTAAGTATTGCGGGCGGATTGTTCACTGTTATGGTCACTGTTTTGGTCAATAGTTGCTGCTATGCCTACTGGCCAGGCCATATTCGAGTGTGTCGGTGAGTGATCTAGTTTCAGACATGTGCATGGGTCCGAGAAAATGGATCTGGGATCTGATCCCAAAGATCCTGATCTCGGATCCAACAGAATCATAAATCCAGCTGACAGCTCTAATTTATCGAGAGATCCGTAGGGATCACAGATCCTAGTCACATTTTTTGCTTGAGATCCAGTAAGATCATAGATCCTTACTTATTTTTGGTCAACACAGAAATCCCCAAAAAAACACTTGCTGTTACTCACAAACGTTCTGTTTTAGTGATTTTATGTAATTGCACGTCATAATTCTTGTTTTGTGGCACTTATTGACATAAAAACCCTTTAAAACATGGTTTCATATGTTGCGCATGGTGGGATCCACTCAGATCATAGATCCAAGATAAATTTTTCACGCTGGATCCGATGGGATTGTAGATTCTAACCTGTAGTTTGTTTCGAGATCCACTGAGATCATACGATGTAGCGATGTAGATCCATCGCTCGGATCCATGCACATGTCTGGTTAGTTCGTCACCGTTATACTGGCCATATTCGAGTGTGTCGTGTCACCGTGTGCACGTGTCGTTACTGACCGGCTCCCCGTCACCCGGGCAGGTTTTCCGATCATCAACGACCCCCTGTACAACCACACCGTGTTCGGGCCGGGCAAGGGCAAGGGCGGCACCATCGAGAAGTCGGACGAACAGCTGATCCAGGACCTGATCGCCATCCACAACGCCGAAAACTGGCTCGGCATGGACGGAGACGTCGAGCTCAGCATGTTCAAACCCAAGGAGGCCGGTGAGTGCGGCAAGACCATATTGAGGGATGTTGGAAGGATTACATGGTCAGGGGCAAGGCCGGGAGGCAAATTCCCAATAATGCTACACGCTACGCACCTCCAGCGCTGACTGGCTGGTTTTCGCGGGAGATGACGTCATAACCTGACGCCCACGCTCATTGGCGTGGGGGTTATGTGACGTCACATCCATCAGCCAATAGTCAGACGAGGTGGGGATCTATTCGCTAGTTCAGATACAGGTTAAGGAAAGTCTATGACGACAATATACGAGTCTATGCACGAATCACACGCGGACCTAAGGCGCGAATTCAAGGGCCTATTACGGCCTTGATTGATGGCCTTGGCCGAGTGCGCTGGATGTTGGATTTGAAGGCCGTGTTGGTGTTACACCTATTAGACTGTAATTTGTGTTGGATTTTTGGGTGGTGTTGTTTCTGCACCTGTGGTGCAAGATGGAAACGGATGTTTTTTTCGGAAAAATTTGAATCTTCAGGCTTTTCAAACATCGACGCAGGGCCTCGGCTAAGGAATTTTGACTTCTGGGGCAAATCGTCAAAGTGTGTTGGCGCCCTGCTGGGGGGGGGGGGGGGTTGAACAGCTGTTTTTCCTGCGGTTTTTCGCGGATATCTAAAAAACGGAGGCGCTCCATCATCCATCAATTCTACACGTGTTGTAAAAATTTCAGACCAAGGTCATTCAAGATCAGGTCACCAGGTCACTTCAAGTGACCTCACCTCATAAAATGTTTCAATGTATGCCGAGCCGTAGCTACACCGTGTGACCGATCGCTTTGAAACTTTCAGCGATTGATAAGATAAGGGCAACAGCATGTAGGTACACAATTTTTATCTCGGAATTTTCATATCGGTGACCTAAGGTCAGCTCAATTTTGCGACCTCTATTATAAGTCAATGGGAGAAAATTCAAAACCACCTCTTTTGGACGAAAGTCATTCTAAACACTATAAAACACTGTACGTGACTTTGACACACTGAACATGAAAATAGCACCCGTGACCCTTGTTTATGCCCCTGAGGTCTTCTCAGTTCACGAATGGTATCTAACAGTTTTTTTGCGAATAACTTTTGAAAGAGGCATGCTAGAGCGATGAAAATGTCTTAGTTGTTGTTTGGCTCGACGATGCAGATCGACTGATATGCAACATGACAATTTCCGGTCAGATCATGACCTTGACCTGAGGTCGAATTTTCAAGTTGACCTTCAAGGTCAAATTGTAGTTAATTTGATGCGTCTTGACGAGAGGAGCACGATGTCGGTAAAAGAAAGCTCATGCAAGGCATGAGTCAAATGTTATTGCAGAAGAACTGTTCCCGAAAAAATCGTCTATTTTGGTAGTTTTTGCCCCTTGCAGGCAAAACCGTTGACGTTAGGTCGAATCTAAGAGAAGTAACCAGAAAACATGCTAATATGGCTATCAAATGCGCTTTTTCGCGGTGCTGTAGCTCTAATTGGTTCCCGAGTTATGCGTCGGCATCTTGTAAACTGTCGATATTTGACCTGAAAATCGGCGAAATTTGGCGTTCACCATGACCTGACCTTTGACCTGACCAAAAAAGTTGCCGAAGTAATTTCGTCATTATTTTTGACGCTCTTTCGAACGAAGATGATTATGGGGTGCAAAAAGATATGTCTGCCAATGCACGCCCATGTTTTTGGATGGAAATTGAGGGTGCAGCTGCACACCGTGCACTCCCTCTTCCACCGCCCCTGATTTATTGCCACAAACGTCTTCAACCGCTCCCGAATGAAAGAATGCACGTTAATACGGATATATTATCATTTTGTGGAGGTTGGGTAAAGCCTGACCACTACTGGGGCATTCCTCGACTCTACTGGGGCATTTGCCCCAGAAGTTAACATGTTAGCCGAGGCCCTGCATCGACGTGAACTGCAAAGATGATACCTCAACCTTGACTTTGAGATGTAGCGTCAAAACCCGAGAAGAGTTCAGAAACTGGCTTGAAATTTACTGTTCTTCTACCTCAATTACTCTGAACAGCTTCAGACTACTAGCAAGTGGCGATGGGCACAGGAATATGTTCCACCAAGCCACAACTCTAAACCCTCGCACGAGCAGAGCACATTTCGTTTACCATAATGCTGCATGACACAACAGCCTCAGGTTCTTTCGCCGCAACTTCTGCGTCGGATATACCCGATTAATCGTTCGCAGTGTAGTTCGCAGTGCATCAGAGCAGTGGTCTTCGAGCCCTCCCATCGGCCGTGCACATCTCGGAACCCGCTCCCATCGGCCGTGCAGATCTCTCTGAGCCGCCTGCCGGCGGCGCCTCCAGAGCCGAGCGGGCCCCCATGCGCCTACCCCGGACGCGAGTGACGACACCGTGACGTCACCCGCCCGGGCTGTGCGTAGCGTGTAGCACTATTGGGAATTTGCGGCCGGGAGATGCGCAATGTGAACATGAACCGTTTGTTTTCAAGAAAAGTAGTGTCACGACTTAAAAGATATTGGGTGGAGACTTCCACTGGCGTCCAACTGGCGTCTAACTGAGCAGACGTCCAGGTTGGCGTCTAACTTGGCGTCTAACTGTTGGACGGAGACTTCCAAGCTAGACGCGTCTAAATTTAGCTGTCGCCAGATAGACGCAGCGGCCGTCCAGCTGGATGCGTCTTAGACGTGTCTAGCTAGACGCGAAATGGAAGTCTTCAGCCATTGTGAACTTTATTTTTTTACTAAGTGCTATTTATTAACCGAAGGTTTGTTGCCAATAGTTAAATCACTATTCGTTAGAATTGTGTTTTTCTATTGAAAAACAAATCTGAGTTCCCTGACAATTTGGCAAAAGCTGCCTGAGATCTATGCATTGAGTGTTTTGCAGTTCCGTTTTTAGCTTGGTACGCGTATTTTTGCAAGCTGCCTCGTTTTGCTTATCTGAAAAACATGCCATTATCTCAAGAACTATGATAGCTAGAATAACGATGGGAAAAGCAATCGATAGCTATTGAACTCTTCTTTTGATAAAGTCATCATCAAAAATGACCTCAGGTCAACGGTTTAGCCTCCAGAGGGCAAAAACTCCAAAAATAGCTGTTTTTACGAAAAGTGTTTTTCGACAATAACTTTTGACTTAACCCGGCAGTTGCTGGGGTATTTCGCCACCCACCGTTTGCTGGGGGGGGGGGGCGTTAAACGCCCCCAGCCGATAACTCGAGAACCAATAGGCGCAGCGTAACGCACGAGGCGGCAAACGAAAGAACGCGACGAGACGCTTCAGATGAGTACTTTAAAGTTGAATTTTGAGGTCACAGGTCAGGTCAAGGTCAGGTCAAACACCTGAAATCGGGCTTTCAGTAGCATGGACTTCAGGACTTCGCAATGGGCGCCTCTCGTCATAAACTCTGTCAAAACGGTGCACAATCCATCATATAAGGCCTACAAGAGTGTCAGCTCCATGCAGGGGTCAGTCAAGCATAGGTCAGGGTCAAGGTCAGGTCAACCGGGCAGGCACATATCCCCGAAAATAAAAACTGATATTCGCAGCCTGTGACACATGTTTTATGGGTAATTTGGGGCGTAGAACACGATGGTGACATTCATTTTATCATATGTGTACGTGTTTGGCTAAAAAAGTTCAGTTTAAGAAATTCATGTATCATGGTCGTGAAGTAGTCACGAGAAATTGCCAAGATTCAGTTCAAGATTTTGGAAAATGCGGAACGATAATCAATAATCGAAGTTAGCCTTTTGATTTTCCATGGTATTGGCAGTCTAATGGCGTTTACGGCATGTCTATATGTCTATTCTGTGATTTTATATGATTTTTTGAACATATGCCGTTTTTGGTCGAAAACTCAGAAATCATGACGTCACTAAAACCTCGATATCTCAAAAATTTTTCCGACCGATTTTTTTGAAACTTTGTCACAATAAACTTCAATCAATTCCCTACAGGTACCCAAAATTTGGCGCGCCTGCGGCGCGCCGTTTTTATGCTATGGCCCGGCGAAAAAAGTGGGGGCGTTTAACGCCCCCCCCCCAGCAACTCGCGGGTTAAAAAAAGGTAGGACATTTCTATTGCCAGAATCGTGTTCCTCTCGCCGAGACGCGTCGAATGAACTAATATTTGACCTTGAAAGGTCAACTTGAAAATTTGACCTCAGGTCAAGGTCATGACCTGACCGGAAAAGGTCATGTTACATATCAGTCGATGCGTCTCGGCAAGACAAACACCATGAGGCCAACCCCAGCGTTTTATCTTTTTCCAATCGAGAGTTATTGGCAAAAAACTGTTTGTAGCCTCAAATGACCTCGGATGACCTTTCTAGAGGCTATCAGCAAAAAAGACACCTTGGTCGTCACGGGTGGTCCAAGTCATTGTGATTCTGAAATAGTTTGACTGTTCCTATGCGTACACACGGATCTAGAGGCATTTTCGTTTTCTCCATTGACTTATAATGGAATGGTCACGCCACTGACCTGACCTTAGGTCACGTATATAAAAAATCCGAGATATACAAATTGTAGGCATCCATAACATCATGTAATCCACCAAGTTTAAAACCTCTCTGACAAACACTGCAGGCTGGACATGATTGAAAACTTTTTTAGGCTTGGTCAGTTTACTTGACCTGGTGACCTGACCTGACATGACCTGGGGTCAAAAATTTCACACATTGTCCAAAATTGATGTGCAAAAAGCTACTCCAAGCGGCGCGGCGCTACGCGCTGCAGTTTTTTATTCACACGCAAAAACCGCGACAGGGTGGTAACATATGCCCCCCCCCCCACAGCTGGGGCGAAGGTTTACCCGCGACCTGGTGGGGGGGGCTATTTTTTGCCCCCCCCCCCCCCTCCAGACTTTTCGATATATCTCCAGAACCGCTGCGCCGATCGTCACCAAACTTTCAGTACCCTCCCGGACATCAATTTTACACATTGTGACCAAAATTTTTTCCAAAGGCTATGATAGGTTGGCCGGAAATGACGTCAGAGTGACGTCATGTTCTGCCGTTTTCGACCCAAAAAAGGGTTTCGCGGGAAGAGCTGTCAGGCCTATAGCTTTGCAAATACAGAAAAAATGATAAAAAACATAAAAGCTGTAGAATCAACAGGGCTACAAAACTGCTATCTCGGATTTTTGAAATTTTTGGATTTGGACCCCCAAAAATCAAAAAAAAAATATTTTTTTTTGGATATAATAGTCGAAAAATCCAAAAAGTTTTTTGGATTTCGCAAAAACCGGAATATATGTGATAGTCCTTACCGCCTTCCATCCACATACCAAATTTGAGATTGATACCTCTTTTTTTGGCGAAGTTATAGCGAAAAAACTGTTCAAAATTGATGACGTCAAATTTTCAAACTCAATTTTTAGCTATTCTAGACCCCGTAGCGCAAAACAAAGACCACCATTAGACTCCCCGTGACGAGCTGCATCGAATCAATACCCATTTTATGCAAAACTATCAACTTTAAAATTTGACCTTTTTTGGCCTGACCTTGACCTGACCTTGACCTGAACTTCACCAGAAAGTGACCTAAGCCGTACCTGATAGTCTTATAACCAACACCATTGAGTTGGAAATGAAAAATTGGCCATAAAACATGCATCACATAACCTTAGTAAAGTTGGGCTCATGTGACCTGACCTGTGACCCTTGGTGACCTGACCTGTGACCTGACCTGGTATTGTCAGTGACCTCTAATAGCAACATATCTACTAGGCAACTGACGCCCTATCGCTGATTATCGACAAAATGCGTTTTCCTCGGTGTTATAGCGCATTCCCTAGCAGACCCGTGAACGGTGAAACATTTCACCTTTGACCTGACCTGTGACGTCATCGGTGACCTTGAGGTCAATGAAATTTGGTTTCCCTGGACAAATTTGACAGGCCTTTCGAACGCCGTTTGAATTTTGCGGATCCGTCCAGTAGTTTCGGAGATACGAGGGGGGGGCAAAAAATAGCCCCCCCCCCCACCAGGTCGCGTTATAAACAGACCCCACCAGGGCGCGGGTTAACACGTGTGATGGTTCCTCCAGTGCTCGCGAGGTGTCACCCCCGGTTTCTTGTCTGACTGCGGTGTCCCTGCTCTGTAGGTGAGATGGTTCCACCAGTCCCCGCCAGGTGTCGGGACGGCTCTGTACTGACTGTTGTGTCCTGTGTCCCTGCTCTGTAGGTGAGATGGTTCCACCAGTGCCCGCCAGGTGTCGGGACGGCTCGCCCGCCACGGCCAGTCCCGGCCCGTCCGAGGCAGCCGGTCAGCCCGCCGCGCCGGCGTCGGCCGTCCCTCAGACCCAGCGCCAGAAGGGTACGTCAAGTTCTCCCTTCCCACTTCCCTCCCTTCTCCGCCGCGTGGTAACTACTTGTCTATCACCATCTCCCGCGATCGGGATCGGCCCCACAGTCCATGACTCTTATCGAACAGTTTAGGCAGTTCTCGGAAATCACCGTCCCTCCCAGTGGTCTCGGGAATCTATCGAGTCTTTGCCGTTTCATCAATAGCTTTCAACCCGACTTGACTTCTTTCCGCACAATCGAACCACAGCTACTCAGGAAGTCCACTGATTTTTCCCCAACTAAAGGATAATCACCACCAGACCCCTACAGCCACTACGTGGTGGGACCCTGGCTCTAAGTAGGACTAATCCTGATGCATCACTCATGATTTCTTCCTCTGGGAAAGCTCTGGAACTATTCGGACAGCGCATGCTTACCCGGGACTGCCTACAGTCATGACTGTGGTGGTAAAACATCCGACACTTCTGGCGGGGAGCGACGCCTGTTTGTGGGGATACGGGCAGCTTCAGAGGCTTAGCCCAGCTCTGAAACTGATCCTCGGGGATCGCCCACAGCCAATGGGAGGGAGGCGGCAAGCGGGCTTAGTGCTAACTGCCGAAAGATGGGGCTTAGGCAGCTTTTTCTGAGCTGAGTCGTGACTGTACTGGCTGTGTCTTGTAATGGAACGCGGATTATGAAGGGTTAGACGCGGAACGGTTACGTCGTTTGTCTGGCTGCTGATGTCGACAACGTCTCGTCATTTGTCAATGATCGAGACCCCGCGTTTCGGTGCTTATTTGTTCGGCAAATTTGGCTCGCCATTCAGTAGCACAGAAGCTGTATGACGGTTTCCTGCACAGTCGTCAAACAACTCACAGCACAAACTGAGATGTTGAATACCGGGCTGGAAATATGTGACTGTACATACGCTCTCCCCCACAGGCAGCAGCGAAGCCGGCGTCCCCACTGCTGCGGCGGCGGAGCCTGGCGTCCGGGACGGCGAGACGCCGCCGGCGGCCGGCGCGGGCGGGGGCGGCGGCGGGGGCGGGGGCGGGGGCGGCGGCGGCACGTTCCGCCCAGAACTGATGGTGGCCGACCCGCACTGCTACGAGTGCAAGGTCCGCTACCGCGACCCCAAGCCCAGTGACCTGGTCATGTACCTGCACGCGCTCAAGTATGCGGTGAGTACCGCCAGAACGGTGATGTTGTGATGTTGTGCCGGGCAACACAGCTCTCGATGCGACAGTGTAAGGGTATCATTTCTCAATTAATGCGTATGGCTGGAAACTGTTATGAATTGTCGGAAAAGTAGAAGCTCAATGTATGACTGGTTGTATTGTTTACTGATCACGAGCTTCTTGTCATTGCTTTTTTCAAAGAGCGTAGTGAGTTTATCTTCGATTATTAGTGTCCTAGATCACCATTTCAATATGTATCAGACGACATCGGAGTGACAGCTGATGGCTCCCCTAATGTGCCGTCTGGTGACCCGTTCTCCTCACTGTTTCGACTGGCGCTCTTTTCTTTCTCAGTATCCCAGCTGGCAATCCATTCTCCCCTTGCTTCCCTGTCCGCAGTCTATTCTCCCTCACTGTCCCATCTGACAGTCTGGCCTCGATATCCCATCTCCCTCACTGTCCCATCTGACAGTCTGATCTCACTGCTCCGTCTGACGCTCTATTCTCCCTGGACAGGGTCCCGGCTGGCAGTGTGTTTAACTTGTCCCCCAGTATCTTTCTGACGATCTATTCTCCCTGGACAGGGTCCCGGCTGGCAGTACGAGACCAAGATGCCCGACTGGGCAGCAGAGGACTGGCGCGACCCGGACGGCAAGGCTTGAGGGGCGCCAACGTCCGGACGGCAAGGCCTGAGGGCGTCCCGGTCCGGACAGCTGAGCCTGAGGGGCTTCCCGGTCCGGATGGGAGTGCCTGAGGGGCGTCCTGGTACTGGCGGTCCGGCCGGAGGGCGTCCCGGGCCTGAAGGGCGTCCCGTTCCGGACAGCGGAGCCTGAGGGGCGTCCGCCCCGCCGTCGGCCTCCCTGTCGTCATATCACCGGGCGCTGTCGGTCCGGCGGTGACCGGGCTGCCCTCTGGAATTCTTCCGAGCGCCGAGAGTTCGGCAGTGCGGCGGCTGAGGCCGGCGGCAAACAGTCTTTCCATCGGTCGGGCACCGCCTGACCCAGACTGTAGTGTAGAGACGGGCGGGTCCGCGGGCCGCACGGCCGGCGCTGCGCCCACTTCCGTGCTGGAGGCCCGCTGCTTGGCCTGCTGTGCAGACTCGAATCAAAAGACAAGTGTCTGGGCGGGCCCGGGCCGCGCCGCGCGCCGCCCATGTCGGCGACTGGCGGGGGACTCTGTGTCAGTGGCTGGACAGCCGGCCGGTAAACGGGGGTGTTTGTAGCTAGTGGTACTATGTGCGGCCCAGTGCCTCAATGTCTTCGCCTCGGCGCCGAACGATGGAGCTGATGTTATAAGTCATATCCCGCGGGCGGATATCATGTGGCAGCCTGCCTGTGGACATATGGCAGCCGTGAATATAGTGCCGCGTTCGGTGCAAAGTGTCACTCGCTAGTGTCACGAGTTTTCAGTGTAACTCGGCAAAACTGGCGCAGCCCAGGCGCGCTACAAGGATGGACTGTCTTTGTAAACTTTCACACCTCTTCCGATGATGTGCTAGTAGATGGTTTCGTTTCTGGATTTCTATGTCTCGACTGACGCGCTGCTGTGACGGCGGGCAGCCTCTTCCGTCGGCGCGCCGCGCTGCTGACCGGCGTGACTCGCGCGCTCTGTCCGCGGCCGTGACGTCACGCTGACGTCACGGCCGCCGTGCCTTGTGAGTTGGCTGCGCGGCCGTGCGCCCCTGCGGACGCGGCCGCTCGCCTGTGCCTTGGTCTTACCTCAGTCTCCCGGCGCTGCGGCGCGCTCTGCTGGCGCCGCGGCCGCCGGGCGCGGAGCCGCGGCCGCCCCCTACCGGCCGAATGTCAGCGCGCGAGGGCTGGTTGTTTGTTGGTATGTCTGCTTTGAGTTTGTTGACTACGAATGTGTCTGGCTGAGCCGATTGTCGAGCTGTAAGAACTGAGACATGACCGGATGCTTTCCGTCCGCTTTTTAGACTCAAATTGTGTCCGGAAAACCACGCACACCCTTTCAATACGCTGCAAACACCGCCAAGCGTACAACTGAGTGTGAGGTGGCGTGTGAATGCGGTAAAATTGCAAGTTGGACGGATGTGTCCTGTGACACCGAACAATCACCGATGGATTCGCTGCTTGCCCCGTGCTGCCATGAACTGACGCACTGGTGTGAGGACATGGTTGTCTCAGTGAGAGCGGCGGTGCGTGTGTGCTGGCGACAGGCGATATGTCAGCGTGAGCGAGTGCCGGAGGGCGGTGGGAGTGTCGCTCTGCTACTCAGTCTCCTGATCAGCCGAGACTGGCCGCAATATGTTGACGTTTGAACAATAAAATTACCTTCAGACGTTGTAGTTTTTGTGTGGTGACGCTTCACCTCATGACTGACCAAGCAGCCACGAGAACATTTAGACAGAGCTCTGGCCTCACGGTATGGATGCCACTGTAGGCTACGGTGAAATGGTATAAAAGCTTAAACACAATGGGAAAGAACTCTTCCACCAGTTTTCTGTCGTAACTTTAAGTTAAGACACATGCAATTGGAAATACCTACCTACTCACTACTGAAATAAAGCCGACATTTTTATTGAAGGTAGGTACGTCAGAGTCGAACAGTCAAACTGGAACGGCGGTCGGCGTGTCCCAATGGCCAGTGATCCGGGGACACGTTAGAGAAGACGCTCAGGTAAGGTAAGTGGATTTAGGATTACAACGCTCTTGGCTCTATATTGACATGGAATAATCTTGTGTCCAAGGCTATACTTGTGTTCCAGTGTCCTTTTTTGGGCCGGAGCCAAGATTCTTACGCCGGAGCGCAGTGGAATTTCATTCCTTGATTTGGAAACAAGTATCCTCGATATGGAAGCTTACAAAGTTTCAGTGGTGGCGTGCTTTTTACAAGTAATGGCGCATTACCCATTTTGGCTTTGTTTATTTTTATTGAGCGATCGTGCAGAAGCTGAAGCGTTGCAAGCGTTGCAGAGGAGTGCGGATTTGGAGGGAACGCCCACTACAAGGCCATATAACCAGGTATGGTCATCAGGCTTTTTTTACCGTCCCCCTACCGGGCCCGAATGACGTCACTGGGATGGTAACTCGCCGGCCGCCGTCCGTATCCATTATGGAGGACGGACGTTTAAATACGTTTTCAGCGGATTTTAGTGCAGTTTTGATGTCCGATGCAAGGCAGAACGGTGTGATGTTTCCTCAGTGAAGCAAATCAGGACCAGCTGTTACTCGAACCAAAGATTTGGCGACATTATTGGGATCGGACCGAGCCAACGTGCGCCCCGCCGGTGATCCGGCCAGCACATCGGCGGCTCTCTCGTAGATGAAAATCGCCATAGTTTTGCGCCAGGCTTCAGAGTCAATGGATTTCTGGTGACTCTGACTCCAACCGCGACTTCCAAAAACCAACTCCGACTCCGACTCCGGGCTGGGTAATCAACTCCGACCGACTCTAACTCCGACTCCGCAGCCCTGCCAGATCTGCGGAGCGGCCAGGGCTGCAGAGTCGGAGTCGGAGTCGGTCGGAGTCGACAGTTGTGACCGGAGTCGGAGTCGGAGTCGACTTTAGAAACCCGAGCCGGAGTCGGAGTCGGAGTCACCGAAAATATGTCGACTCCGCAGCCCTGCTAGGTCTGCGGAGTCGGAGTCGGGAGTTGGAGTCGGTCGGAGTCGACAATTCTGCCCGGAGTCGGAGTCGGAGTCGGAGTCGCCGAAAATCCATCGACTCCGCAGCCCTGGCGGAGCCGATGGATTTTCGGTGACCCCGACTCCGACTCGGTTTCCAAAATCGACTCCGAGTCCGGTCAGAACTGTCGACCCTGACTCCGACTCCGCAGCCCTGGTTTTGCGTCTATTTCGCCCCATAATTAAGAGAGGTGTGAACTGCACAAACCGAAATTGTACCGTAACACAAGTATATATACACATTCCAAACTTCTGACTGGAACGAACCAAATGCGTACACAATATACCGGTTTATGTCATACCATAAACCGTAGTTATAAAAAACCATATTGGACAGATTGGTAGAGGACAAATAAGGCTAATCTCTTGCGACTTGAGTAGGTACAATAAAATGCTCCGAACTGTCGGAAAGTTGTACAAGATGTCGCCTCTCCAAACACAATGTGCCGATTGACTCCGCGACAGCCAGGAACCGGGCAACATAACACGTGAAACAGAGCGGTGGCACCTCAGCACAGGCTCCCCAAGCTCGTCAAGGCGGCGAGAAAGGTCCGGCAAGTCGGTAACAGGTTCACCACGGCAGCGACAGGTCAGGCAGGTCGGCAGCAGATTCACCAGGGCGGTGGCAGGTGCGACAGGTCGGCAGCAGGTTTACCAGGGCGGCGACAGATCCGGCAGGGCGACGGCAGTTTCACCAGGGCGGAAGCGTAGACGCGGCGGCAGGTCCGCCGGGGTGGCAGCAGGTCCAGGGCGGCCGCAGGCTCACCAGGGCGGCGACAGGTTCGGCAGGGCGACGGCAGTTTCACCAGGGCGGCAGCGTAGACAAGGCGGCAAGTCCCAGGGCGGCTCAGGCTCACCAGGGCGGCGACAGGTCCGGCAGGTCGTCGGCAGGTCGGCCTCAGCAGCAGGCAGTCAGCACTAGCAGATTCTCGGGGCAGCCCTGGCTGAGGTGGGATGTCATCAGAAACTGCACGTCTGGGTGCCGGTGTCGGATGTCGTACAGACCACGCAGCGAGGCTTTACTGCGCAGCACGCCCTGCTGGCAGCGCAGGAGTGTCGGCAGCCCAGCGGGTGCTTTCGGGTTGCCTTCCTCAACTTCCTTTCGGAAACTGGCACTCGCCACTCAGGGAGTCGGGCGACGTCTCCAAAGCTGGGAGACAGATGCTGAAGTCGATATGATGTGATTTTATGCCCTCAGCTCGGTGCCAGTCATTGTGTTGTTATGTGCAGGTAGCCACTCCTCGCCGTCCTGCACGCCAGAGGACCAGCCCCGGACCTGCAAAACACATTACCAAGTTTATTAACACAATGCAACATGAAAAATTCACTAAGCGATGGCAAGCAAAAATAATCAATGCCCAAAGGTGCCTTTTCTTCGATTGCCTTTTCTATGTGCTGATATGAAGCCTCAAAACATGTACCATTTTATATTATGTATTGATTGCAGGCCTGACTCAGAATTCAGTTGAAACAAGCAAATAACACAATTTTTCATTATTATTTTGAATTTGGGTCTGGCATTACTGTTCCATGCACAGGTGCGTCTGCGTATAAAATCATATGAAGCAAATGCATTAGGTAAATAGTCTCAACAAATAGAAATTAGTAGTAGCACAGGTGGTATAAATAGAAACCAATATATAGACATTAGACAAGGATGAGCTTGTTTAGTTAGCAAATGTCAATGACATAACATTTACATAAACAAGAATGGGATTTTCAGTAATAAGCATGTCAGAAATCCTTTTAAATTCAATTTTGAAAGTTTAGATACAGATTATAAAATCTGGCAACAACTAATATTGAAAAGAAGTAACAATGAGCTTCAACTTTGCACAAAAGATGTGCCAAAATTTTGGTGAGAAATCACTTGCGCTGAATTTTGAGACCCGAAAGCCCCTGGGCCCTGACGCATCTGACAGTGAGTGAATTTTTTTTCCAGTCTGGGAGGTAAGCATAGATTGATTTGTTATTTGATACTATTTAATTTGACAAATAAGTTGTTATTTTCACAAAGCATTAAGATTTATAGAAGCTAACCACTTCCGATCCGAAACAATTTACAGCTATTCCATCTCCATTCTCCTTCTCATTATGTTTTAAACAATGCTAAGGTATTTTACAACTTAATATGAGATTATCATGCTCCCTTTGAAAGCCAAAAATGACAAAAAAAGGTTAAACCGGGATGAACTGAAACGTGGCTGATCTGCCTATGATACTCATGCTTATACAGTTGAATTAATTGAATACCTGAGCTGAACTGCTGAAGCTGGTCATTCTTCATGATCTCTGAGACGACAAGTGTGTGAATGCCACTTATGTATATGCTTTTCCGATCTTCAAACACATAAAAAGTGATATTATTATCAAATAAACAATATTCAAACTCCGTATAACAATACACGCAACGGCTGGAAAACACTGCGCCGGTGCGCCAGAATTGACAGCATCGCCTGAATCTCAGCGACCAATCAGCTTTCGACCATCCCAGTGACGTCACATTGGCAGCATTTGGTAGCAATTTTCCTCCTATGGCCCGGTAAAGGGACGGACCCCCCCTGGCCCACTACTTCTAATTTCTATGTACTATGTACCGTGGCCTTCGTTAGACTGAGGTGGGCGTTTACTGGTGAGAAACAAATTCATTTCAAAGCGTGTCCATATTTAACATAAAGCAAAATCCAGCATCCAGGTATAGTAGGGCAGACGTCCCACGAGGCACGAACCAGTCTGCAAAACATGGCAGGGAGGCGGGAGCTCGACAAGATTTTCGGGGCAGACAAAATACTGCCCCGAATCAGAATGCTGAGTCCAGGGGCAGCCCAATTCCTGCCCCTAATGATGCAAATAATGTAACGATATAATGATGTAGGAAGCAGTGAGAAGCTGAGAAAATCACTTCTGTCAATTTTTTAACTTCTGCACCAGATTTTTCTGTTTCTGCCCCAATCTTCCTTAAACCTGCCCCTATTTCTGCCCCAACCTGTGGTGTCTGCCCCGACGAGATCTCGTCGAAGCCTGCCACGTTTTGCAGACTGGCCCACGAAGAAGGCTTTCCAACCAAAGAGAGGCGCTATACCCGGGCCCTGTTTCACGGCGGACCGCTACAGTGCGCTGCGCGCGTCGGCGCGTTGGGTTTCCATGGCAATATCAACAAACTTCTCACTGACGCTTCGCTATGACGTCATCGCAAAACGCTAGCACCGAAGCGCGGCGCCAGCACCATCTGCACGCTAGCAGTATTCGCACTCAAACTTCTGTTCAATTGGTACTAGGGCCCTGTTTCAGCGGTGATAGCAGCACGCTACTATCAAATTGCGCGAGCTGACGTAATGTGATGAGGTCACACTAATGACGTTTTGTGTAATCCGTGAGCTACGTTTGGAACAGAGTTGCTGTCTCGTTGAAAAAAAACATTCGAACGTTCAAAAATGGGAGAGCGTACAAGGCTCCAGAACACTGTGTCTGGTTGATATAACCTTGATTGGTAGATGATCACATGTGCTTTATATAAAAGTAGCTTAATTTTGGCACAAATAGGCACCAAATTTTCGGCACAAATCATGCAGAAATTTCAGCGCAAAATCGCTTGCGCCGAGTTCCGGCGCAAGAGGGTCTCACGGGCGTCCGGCGTAGTTTATGGATGTTTTCCAGTCTGGTACCTGACTATGATCCATTTTGTCATGTGCCTGCTCCCTAGTCAAACACAATGTCTATTGTCTAATCCGGCCTTGGTCTAACCATATACATACCTTTCAGATTTGAATCTGACCAGAGCTCAGCTGCTGTTATTTGGCGATTGTTTAAAGTACTGCTTAATTTCATCATGTTGCTGCAAGAAAAGCTCTGCAATTGCTTGTCTAATTAGTGATAAATATCCGACCCAAGACCTGTATAATGGGCGGCGCGCGGGCGCGGACTACATCAAGTTTTTGCTCAGCAAACCGGTTAAACAGTGGCGCAATCTCTGTCGAAGCTGTCTGTCTGGGCTGGCGACAGTAGCTCTGGGGCCGTCTGTGGCGCGGCAGGCTCTGTTTTGACGCGATCTGTCAGTCACCCGGCTGTGCAGTCTCACACACCGGGATCCATTGGTGCGCCGTGGTGTATCGTCCGCGGTGTTTGCTGTCCGCTGGGTCCATTATAGCTGGACTGACACGGTACGCGGTGGGTGTGATACCAACACAGTTCGGAGCGGAGCAGGTCAGCCCAGACTGTAGTCTGCTAACCACTGCGGGCCGGTGAGGGGCGTCCTTGGTGCTCGGTGCTGCCTAGAGTGACAGCGCGCGGGCTCCGCTGTCTGCTGCCCGGTGGGAGAGCGCGGGGGCGCTGTCTGCTGCCCGGTGGGAGAGTGCGGGGTCGCTGTCTGCTGTCCGGTGGGAGAGTGCGGGGTCGCTGCCACGCCGCTGTCGTACCTGACAGCGCGGTCTAGATGTGACACCGCTGTCACACCTCCCAGTGTGTGCCACTGCCGTGACATTACGTGATCGGTTTGCTGCCGCAGTGTCGCTGACGCCGAACCCCCGTCCGTCCGTCAGATGGCGGCCGCTATGGCCGATACTGAGCTGAGCTCCGCTGAGGGTGCCGGTCCGGCCGGACAGCAGCCGGGTCAGAGCTCCGACCCGACGCCGGATCAGGAGCGGGCCGGTCAGGAGAAGCCGTCGAACCCTGATGAGGGGCCGGTCGAGCACCACCAGGTGCTGATTATCGGCGGCGGCGTCAGCGGCCTGTCGGCGGCCTCGTGCCTCGTGAAGAACGGGATCACCGACTTCCGGCTGCTGGAGGCGCGCGGACGGCTCGGCGGACGAGTGGTGGGCATCACCGTCGGTGAGTACGGACCGGGGCCGGCGGGGCGGGCGATCTACGAGCGTGGACGAGGATACATGATTGATGTTAAGGGTGATTGATTCTGTCGTGAGGTGGTTTGTGCCCAATACCGAGAAATACGTCGGACAACTGCGTAGATAGCGTAACTCGTGCAACACGAAGGGAATGCATACTAAATTGGCTTATATTTGGTAGCCTGTGTTGTGTTTTATTCCATCAGTCGATACCGCCGTGGAGCGTTCGTTCAAACTGTGGACCAGGCGCTCATCCTGTATCTGTCGCTGCCAGTTCTGTGAAACAATATGTTTCTATGTGCACCAGACGCACATAACCCACAGTGTCCACCCGACCCAGCGGGCAGGGTTTCGGAGTCGTGGTAGTGCTCTTCCGACTCCGACTCCGACTCCGACTCCGGGCTCCTGACCGACTCCGACTCCGACTCCGACTCCGACTCCGACTCCGGGTCTGATACAAAGGGCAATGGTGGCTGCCAAAATTCCGCGTGATATGACGCGCCATGTTAGAATCTTCAGGGTGTCCGGAAAGTCCTGGCGCTTTTCAACATTTTTAAAATAAATGCCTTTGGTCCATAGATACTCAACAATAGAACAAAACAATGACCAGGATTCACCAAGCCACATGCTTCTGCTAAGTGTCCATTCATTGTAACCACCGTCTGTGCCGACGATGGCCTCGACGCAAGGGCGGAAACGCCTGCGGGTTTTGACGATGCAGGACATCTGTCCTCCCATGCTGTCATGATGCGAGTCTTCAGCGACTCCAGGCTGGGATGAGACTAGGTGGCCTAGAGCTTATTCTGCAAAACGCGTAGCATGCCTTAGTCGAGCGGGTTAAGGCTGGGATAATAAGGTGGCCTTATCTTAAATCTCATTTCACCACGGTGATCTGGTCCGCCGAGCTCCTCTGTCAGTTTGGTTTGGACGGCAGCGGCGTTGTTGGAGGGCGCTCCGTGCTGTTGAAGTGCGAAATGACCCTTAGGGCAAGTCGCCTTGATTGTCGTGTCCAGGAACCCCTCGTGGACCAGCCTGTCAGTCATTTATTTGACCTTCACGAAGATGATGGAACATTTGTGTCCATCAGACCCCAGATTTTCTTCAATTGCCGCTGAAATGCTGCTTCAGTCTCAGCAGCTTTGGCATACCGTGGTTGTAACTGAGTGAGAATATTTTCTAAGAAATTTCCTATCCGGAATGCACCTTTGCCTGCTCAACTGTTCGCCGGGAAACGCCGCATCGCGCTGCAACTCGCGCCTCGTTCAAGCCGCACCGGGCCCCCGCGCGCGGGCTCTCAGCGACAAGGCGCATCTTCGCCCATATACCTAGCACTGAAAATGGATTCAAGGTCATATTTACGCGACCCCTAGCTGAGCGGTGAACGAGGGGTCATATCTGCGGTGATTGGTTGAAAGTCCAATAATCACAGCGCGCGTTAGACGACGTCCAAAAGAGGCGCCAGAACTTTCCGGGCACCCTGTTCGCGCACCGGGAGATCGCTCCGGTTTCGTTCATGCGGTCACCATTTCTCCCACGTGGACGCAGCTGAATCCTTAGAGACCAGCGGCCGGCGGCCAGCTTGAAAACCCGCCGAGAAGCACGAGTGTGACCGTATCATGACCACGGGCATCGCCATCATGTCGGTCTGTGTTTGTGTTAGGCACTCTTCGGAGCGACAAAAGAAGAAAGTAAATATACACTTGTCATTAAGTCTTTGACACTGGATAGTAGAAGTTATAACGCGAATACAAAATGCTTGCCTACTAAATTATGACATAACTTGAAATTTGTAAGATGCAATGTTAGCTTTTCAGAACAAAAACAAGATGTGTGAGTGAAAAAATGCCTTATTTGTGATCAACGGAAGCGAATTTTGCCGTGGGGACACTGGTTAAAAACAACTGAAAAGTGATAGCACGGATTGACTTCAGTTAACTTTTCCGGAGTCGGAGTCGAGGCAGCTGGACCGACTCCGACTCCGACTCCGACTCCTGGCTGCTTGCCACGACTCCGGGCGACTCCGACTCCGACTCCGACTCCGACTCCGAAACCCTGCCAGCGGGTCCCATCTGCCGTCGGTTACCTCCCACCCTGCCGTCGGCCGTGCTCTACCACGGCTGGGGACCGGTCGGTACGCCCGGGGACGCCCTATCAGTCACACTGCCCGTGCCCTCTCCGGGAACAGCCGGTATCTGGTGCACATCCTATCCGCGGCGCTGCAGACAGACCGAACCGTGTTACCGACCGAGTGTCGGCGGCTCGCGTGCTATCGGCTCCGAATGCTGCTAGGACTCGGCCGAAACTTCGTCCTTTTTCCGATGGATTGTGAGACCCATGCATGACTTTGTGGAGCTTGATTATTTAAAGACCCATTAGCTAGTCTTAAGTTACTGGACAGGGCATTCACTTCTTTAGTGAATTAAATATCGGATTCGGCGCCGCATTGCAAACTCGGTTGCGAGTCCACCACTGTCATAGCTCATAGTTCACAAGGTAAACAGTAAACACGTGGTACCCGGTGTCATATGGCGAACCCAGGTGGCGGACCAATGCACGGCCTGGTGGACCCCCGGGTGGCGGACCAGTGTCACGGCTGATGGACCCCCGCGCGGCAGACCAATGCCAGGGTCTGGTGGACCCCCGCGCGGCGGACCGATGTTAGGGCCTGGTGGATCCTCTGACCCAGCCTGTTTACCCCCAGACGTACCGTGACCGGTGTCGGATCGGTCCCCCGCGCCCTGTTAAATCATCGGGTGATGTGTCACTGCCGGACCAGTGTTAGTGATGTTCATAAACAGAGCAGCCAGCGGTGGCCGCCCATGGCTAGGGACCCTGTAACCAGCGGTGGTGTGTTTATTTAGTTGTTATGTGAGTGGTACTGGTGGCTCGTATGAAACGCTACCTTATGGTTAAAGAAGCAGCCAAAATAAGTTTTTTTGGATACTAGCAAAAATGAGGTCGTAACGGTACGAACGCTGATTTAAAAGACTGACTGAAAAGATAACTTACTTATTGGTCTAAATGATCCCTTTGTAAAACTACTGCACATAAGTGTGGATATGGAACCTTCAAATGTATTGGGCCTTGTGGTAGATAAGTTAGATCCTGGCTCCATTTTGAAATGGTTTGCTCAGACAGATGAGAGTCCCGGAACCACCTGCCTCACGCCTTGTATATTTCTCGCCCATTTTCACGTATTGCTGTGAGCCGATTGAAGGGTGCTCACCGTCAAAAGTGCGGACTGCTGCCGATATTTCATTTCGTTTTCATCATCATCATCTTAATCATGAATTTAACTATGATGGAAACTGGCCGTGGCTCACTGGGCCAGCTCGGGCTCAAGACGATAGCTCAGTGCCCCGACTCGGGCTCCAGGCGGTTGCTCAGTGCGCCTGCTCCGACTCCAGACTGATCTGCACGCCGCGCGCCTGGAGCCGCTGGTCGAGCGTGGTGTCCCCGAACGCGGCTCCGGGCGGCAGCGCTCCGCCGCGGCCCGGCATTCGGTCCGTCTCGCGCAGCAGGCAGACGGCGCACTGGACCACGCACAGCGCCGTGGTCAGGTAGGCCGCCTCGGGGAACTGCATCCGCAGCGTGCGCCGGGTGTCGGGCGGCCCGGCGGCGTCCGGCTGCCGCCAGCCCTCGCCCTCACAGACCACTGTGAAGCGCGTCTGGCGCACCTGCTCGGCGGAGGGGCCGCGCCGGCTGATCAGCCCGGCCGACAACCGCTCCGGGAAGGCGCGCAGCAGCCACTGGCCGCCGGGCAGGAAGCAGAGCAGTCCGAACAGGACGGCCGTGAGCGCGATCACCAGGCCGCGCCAGAAGCCGGCCACGGCCACGTACTGCTGCATCTGGGCGGGCGGCGTGCCGCGGTGCCGCAGTCGCCAGGCGGCCGACCGCTGGTGCACCAGGACGTCCGGCCCCAGGAACGGCAGGCACCAGCGGTCGCCGAGCGGCGCGGCGCGGTGCAGCAGGCCGCGCGAGCGCAGCGGGTAGCGGGCGGCCGGCAGTGGCGCCGGGAACAGCCGCCGCTGCAGCCGCAGCACGGGCAGCACGCAGGCCGTGCCGTGGATGCTGGACAGCCAGGTGCCCAAGTGGACGCCGCGGTAGCCGGCGGCGCCCGGCTGCATGTGCAGGTAGCAGCGGAACCCGCTCAGGCCGCCCGGCAGCGCGCGCTGCAGCAGCACCGAGCCCAGCTCGGCCGGGATCGAGTCGAAGCCGCACGTGCTGACCAGGTAGACGCCGCTGCGCTCGGCCTGGTCGTGCAGCTCGACCTGACACCGCTCGGCGAACAGCCGTTCGCCGCAGATGTCCACGTAGTGTGTGCCGGCGCGCAGGCAGGCGCGCACCACCGGCCAGCCGAGCTCGTGGTACGGCCCGGTGGCGTTGATGAGCACGGTGGCGCGCTGGCACAGCCGGTTCAGGCTGACTGTGCTGGAGATGTCAGCGTGCAGCACGCTCACCTGGCTGCTGACGGAGCTGCCGAGCAGCTGGCGCAGCCGGCGGGTGTCGCGGCCGGCCACGCCGACCCGCAGACCCAGCTGAGCGGCCACCGCGCTCAGCTCGGCGGCAATGTAGCGGCCCGTGAAACCGGACGCGCCGAGCAGCACCACGTCGAGCCGCTCCAGCGGGCCGACACCGGTACCCTCACCGTCACCCGCGGCGGCCGGCCTCGGCGGCATGGTCTGTGTCGCTACCGAGACGGCGGGATGACGCTGAAAGCTGTGAGAGTCCGTGTGTAGACGGGTGATGCAGCCGGACCCTCGACTCAGTCACGTCTGCCGCGCGGGCCGCCACTGGCCGCCTCCTCTGCTCTGCTCTGGGGAAGGAGGGCGGCGCCTGCTCCGACCCGCTCGGCTTCTGTCCGCCCGTCCACCGGCTGTGGCGCGGTGATGACCGGTCTGATGACCCCCTAATTACCCCTGATGGGTCATGTGTGCTGCTGGGTGGCACCTGTGCGGAGCGCCGGCCGCCGCCCCTCCGCCGTCGGCCGTCCCTGCCGCCGCCGGGGTCGGATCGATCCCGGTATCATCAGTAAAAACACGCCTGTGTGGGTTTGTACTTAGATAGTCCCAATTTGACTGGTATGATGAAATATTAGGTGGCTTCGCACTGGAGGTGCAGCTTTCTCCCTTCTCACTCCTACGAGTTCAAATCCACCTTTTCTTCTGCTCGTCTCACATTACACGTATTGTCGCTAATAAGAGGCTGGTATATACCGAATGTGTGGCACGGCAGGGATCATATGGTATGGAAGTTACGTGTCCAGCAGCCAGCTGCCTCCATCCAACATGCGCGTCGGTTCAAATAGAGCGTGTTCATATTTTTCGCCGTATAAAGTACCTACTACTGGACTCTTCCGAGACAGAAGGTATTCATGTCGCATGCAACTGATATAAAAGAATGATCGTTAGAACGGCATTGGGTCTGGGAATTGGCGGCGGAATGTTATTTGTGCATGCTGGGTTTCGTGACACGTGGGGCGGTAGCACAGACTCCTGTCACACATACACCTCTGTCGTGGGGCGGTAGCGCAGACTCCTGTCACACATACCCCCTCCTGTCGTGAGGCGGTAGCACAGACGACTATCACACATACCCCCACTGTCGTGAGGCGGTAGCAGCTGCCACATTGGCCGCTCGGTCGGGCCGGCTGGCCGCCCGGACACCGACCGAAGGTGCCGTGCGGTCGGCTGGTTTGTTCAGGTGGCTGGGTACACACACGGGCGGATAAGCCGCGCTGCGACCCGCCGCGACCCGCCGCGACTCACTGACGCAGAGAAATGCAGGGACAGGAAGCTGTGACTGGAGATAACATAGATCTGTTGGACCGTGGCTGATTGTCTCTGAAACTAGCTGTTGTGTGATACCAGCGCCTCCACATGTACGGCACTTCACTCTGCACGATTGTGCAGCTTGCATACTACATAATCCAAACAATAACTCTTCAAACCGCGACTTGTCATCTGTTCATGTCTTCTCCGCTCCGCTCCCCCGTTTGTGACCATGTATGGATGCGCTACTTGATCAGGTTTGACTGCTCTGATGACGTGATGTTTAGTCTGGGCATAAATTTGGACCAGTTTGTTACGCAACAACCCTTCGCTCTCACTCACCTTTTCTTCATCCTTCCTCTCTTCATCTGTTCCTCTCTCTTTCTCTCTTCCTCCCTCTTTCTCTATACCCGTCTCATTCTCTCCTTGGTCTCCTACGCCATCTCATATATAACGCCTCTCTCCCTCACTACAGACCAGCTGATTTTTTCGCATCAGTTTATTACACACCAGTCAGCGGACACAGCTCACAATATACAGCGCCGCGGCCTTAATCCAACGTGATCAACAAAACCAACACGGTACGGGCCCGCTGTGGACACTGTCAGCGGCCGTACCGAGCATTGAGCGCCGCAGGAGACCAGCTGAATTAGGCTGTGGGGATTGTCCCTAGTATATCCCCTCTCTTACCTTCTCCCCCTCCCCACAGACCAGCTGAAGCTGCAGCTGGGTGCCATGTATAACCCCTCCCTCCCTCCTCCCCACAGACCAGCTGAAGCTGCAGGAGTTACCCCCGCTCCCCCTCCCCACAGACCAGCTGAAGCTGCAGCTGGGTGCCATGTATAACCCCGTTCTCCCCCTCCCCACAGACCAGCTGAAGCTGCAGCTGGGTGCCATGTATAACCCCGTTCTCCCCCTCCCCACAGACCAGCTGAAGCTGCAGCTGGGCGCCATGTATGATCCTCCCCCTCCCCCCTCCCCACAGACCAGCTGTAGGTGCACGCCGTATAACCCCGCTCTCCCCCCACAGACCAGCTGCAGCTGCAGCTGGGCGCCATGTATAACCCCTCCCTCCCTCCTCCCCACAGACCAGCTGAAGCTGCAGCTGAGTTCCATGTATAACCCCTCCCTCCCTCCTCCCCACAGACCAGCTGAAGCTGCAGCTGGGCGCCATGTATAACCCCTCCCTCCCCCCTCCCCACAGACCAGCTGAAGCTGCAGGAGTTACCCCCGCTCCCCCTCCCCACAGACCAGCTGAAGCTGCAGGAGTTACCCCCGCTCCCCCTCCCCACAGACCAGCTGAAGCTGCAGGAGTTACCCCCGCTCCCCCTCCCCACAGACCAGCTGAAGCTGCAGCTGGGTGCCATGTATAGCCCCGTTCTCCCCCTCCCCACAGACCAGCTGAAGCTGCAGCTGGGTGCCATGTATAACCCCTCCCTCCCTCCTCCCCACAGACCAGCTGAAGCTGCAGCTGGGTGCCATGTATAACCCCTCCCTCCCTCCTCCCCACAGACCAGCTGAAGCTGCAGCTGGGTGCCATGTATAACCCCCCCCCCTCCCTCCTCCCCACAGACCAGCTGAAGCTGCAGCTGGGTGCCATGTATAACCCCTCCCTCCCTCCTCCCCACAGACCAGCTGAAGCTGCAGCTGGGTGCCATGTATAACCCCTCCCTCCCTCCTCCCCACAGACCAGCTGAAGCTGCAGCTGGGTGCCATGTATAACCCCTCCCTCCCTCCTCCCCACAGACCAGCTGAAGCTGCAGCTGGGTGCCATGTATAACCCTCCCTCCCTCCTCCCCACAGACCAGCTGAAGCTGCAGCTGGGTGCCATGTATAACACCTCCCTCCCTCCTCCCCACAGACCAGCTGAAGCTTCAGCTGGGTGCCATGTATAACCCCTCCCTCCCTCCTCCCCACAGACCAGCTGAAGCTGCAGGAGTTACCCCCGCTCCCCTCCCCACAGACCAGCTGAAGCTGCAGCTGGGCGCCATGTGGATCCACGGCGTGCTCGGTAACCCCATCTACGAGCTGGCTGTGCGCAGCGGACTCATCAAGTCGATCCAGGACCAGCCGGTACACAGCCTGATGGCGTGCAGGGAGGACGGCCGGCCCATCCCCTTCCACATCGTGCAGGTCAGTCACACGCCGCTCCGTATCGTACAGGTCAGTCACTCGCCGCTCCGTATCGTACAGGTCAGTCACTCGCCGCTCCGTATCGTACAGGTCAGTCACTCGCCGCTCCGTATCGTACAGGCCAGTCACTCGCCGCTCCGTATCGTACAGGTCAGTCACACACCGCAAAGGAGGAGAACCATGATAAATAAAAATGCGGCAGGCAACGTTCTGCTGGAGAGGAAGGCAAGATGTGATCCTCTTGTCGAAGAAACAGATAGAAGGAATTCGATTTGGAGTAGCGGGAAGGCATGACAAATGTTCGGGAGATAAGGTAGAAATGACTAGGCTAGATAGAAACTGGGGATAGGATAGTGTTGCTAGATAGTATGGGAGACAGGACGCTGCCTGGAGGAGGGACGGGTAGGCGGGGCGGGAGGGTTGCGTCACCATGCGGCGCGCGGTGGCCAGGTTAGTATCTGGCTGCTCTGTCTTTGTTTTCGGACTTGGCAGTGGTTCGGGCTGCGCAGGAGCCAGGGCTCCGTGCCAACGCATCGTCACTGAGCGCTGCACGCTGGGTTACTCGTGCTTATCACTCGCACACAGATGACGCGGTGTGTGTTCACTGCTGACCATTACTACCATGTGTGTTGGGTGATAGTGGGAATGATGAATTTTCTAGCATTATGATAATCGAGCTGAACATTGAACAATTAAGAACAGCCAATTGTCAACATCAAACTATTAAACCCTAAACATTCCTTTAATAACATCTTGCAAGAAAAGTTGAAACTAAAAATGACATTTTTTACGAACTTTGCGAATGTCATGTGCCATGAACAATGACGGCGAGCCGATCAAGATACGTGCTGTAGCCGTGTTGTACACATGTTGACACATGTGTTGTCACCACACAAGCACACGTTAACACATGTTGACTTTTGCGTACATGACTGCGTTCCACACTGTGTACAGTTGGTTAAAGTAATGCACTAGTTGAAATGCTTCTCCTCAAGTCCTCAATCACCAATGGATCACGCTATATGATATCGTATTATGCTAGTTTCACTTGTAGCTTATTGTCGGCTGCTTTGCGTTCGACGACAATCAAACACCTCGGACGTTTCCAACGCTGATCGTTGGCTCACCGCTACTATACTTATACCGAACTCTACCCGTATCCCCCCACAGGAGGTTTACGACGCGTACGAGCAGTTCATGGACCGCTGCGTGGAGTACTTTTTGTGCAAGTACGAGCCGCCGGACGGCGTCCGCTCAGTGGGCGAGCACATCCGGCTGGAGGTGGACCTGTACCTGGCCGGACTGCCCGAGCGGGAGCGTGACGTGCGCCGGCTGCTCTTCGAGTACCTGCTCAAACGCGAGGCCGTCATCGCCGGGGCGCACAGCATGGACGAGGTGAGACTGGGCGGGGAGGGAGAGAGGGGGAGGAAGAGTAGAGTGGGAACGTGAAGAGAAGATGCATTTGACAGCATCCAACGCCCGCTTTCGTACGTGCCACTTGATTTCCGTTCGACTTCTAAGGTATGACCCACTACCTGGTATGTATCCATGTGGCCTGTGACCTGTTATACCCCAGGTGGACCTGCTCGAGTATGGCACCTGAGCTGTGATCTGTGACCTACCTGTGACCCATGACCACGTGCGACCTGTGACCTGTGACGTACGACCTGTGACCTGTGACGTTTAACCGGTACCGCTCTAGGTTGATCTGGAGCTGGAGTGCGGCACGTACTGCGACCTGTGAACTGTTATTTGTGGCCTGTGATCTGTTACATGACCCGTGACCTGTTCCACCACAGGTGGATCTG